ATAACGTTACTTCTTCTGCTCTAGATTTAAACATACATGTTGATGTCTCATCATGTAGTGCTGAAATTATTGGAGAGAATGTAGATGTTTTGCCTATTAAATATAAAGTTGGAGCTAGTATTAATTTTGAACTTGAAAGTTTCGATATCTCATGTTAATTTTTTTTTTGTGCAATTGTATTGAACCAAGATAATTTGAATTATAGGAATTTGCAAAAATAATTTTCTATTTTACAAAATTAGAATGAAATTTTTGTTTTACCTCCTGTTTATGATGTTAACACAGAAGTTGATGAAAGTAATATAATAGCTCAGAATGCTATTATTAGAAGTATTCTTATTGTTGTGGTAGGTAATACTATTTCGAATATATTCAATGTTGCCCTTAATGTTGTTTCATTCTCTTTGACCTCTATCTTTAAGGAAAAAAAAAAAAAAAGGAGAAAGAGTTTGTAAGATTGTGTGTTAGTTTTTTTTTCTGTGTTATTTTACTTTGTATTTTTTTTTTATGTATTATCCTAATATTCTTGCTTGGAATGTTCATGAGTTTAACAATGAAACTTATGTTGTTGATTGTAAAAAAAATTATTTATGAAAATCGTGCTCATATGATTGAGTTATTGAAGTTAAGCTCTCTCTTTAATCTGTTTGTAATAATTTCTCTTTTAATAGGTTTAGACTTTTGAATAATAAAGGATGTGTAAATAACTTCAATATTATTGAAAATGGATGTATTTGAGCTAAATGAAATGATGGAGTTTTTTCTTTGACTGCTTTAGAAGTCAAATTTCAATATATTCATAAGCATATTACTTTCTCTATTTCCGTTAAGTTTTTTATAACTTTTATTTATGTTGATAATAATGTTACTGTTAGAAATGACCTTTAGATTTCTATTACTTATTGTCAATATCAATTATCATTAGCTTTCGTTTGGTGACATTACTTGTATTCTTAGAGTTATTGAAATGGTATGTGGTCTTCCATCCACTCTTTCAAAGATAACTGATTTTAATAATTGCATTCTCAAATCTAATATTTTTTAATTACAAAATACTGGTCAAAAGTTTGGTTGGTATAATAATCAAATTGATAATCTTATAAGATGTCTTCTTGATAAGACTTTTTGTAAGGATTCTTAGGTGGATTTTTTTTCCGTATTTCTTTTTTAGAGTTTAAGCTAATTACATTTCTAATCATTCTCATATTTCTATATGTTAGGGAACTCTTATGTTTTGAAACATAAATTTTTGTATAGGAATTATTAAAGTGGTTGCTCTGATTTTTTGAAATTGTTCATGATGTTTTGAAGATTAATGTTAAAGGTGTTATTTTATTTTTATTTTGCAATAAATCTAAGTTTGACAAAGAAGCTTTTAAGAATTTAAATTGGTATGCTTTTAATTATCTTTCTAATTATATTAATGAATTAAAATGTAAACATGAAATTATTATGAATAATTTGGCTATCATTTCTTTTTGCCAAGATTTACTCAGTAATGCCTCTTTTAACCAACAAGAATTTTATTATGCTCTTTCAGGTAATTATAAATTGTTAATGCAAAAAGTTAAGTGTGAGTGATTATATAAGATGAAGCTAACATAAATTGTTTTATCAAGTGATTACAATTAAAAATAATTTTTTTTATCAAGTGATTAAAATTCTATTTTTATAAAGGAATTTTAATCAATGATATTTATTTACAATATCAAAAATAGATTGCTTATATATTCATCCCTCTTTTTTAAATATTTGCTTATTAATTATGTTAATGTTTCTACCTCTATTTTTGATAAATTTCTTGTTATTAATAACATTTATTCTTTGGCTTGTGAAGTTTTATTAAAGGACTTCTCCAATGAAGAAATTTAAAATGTTTTTTATTTATTGGGAATTGCAAATCTCCTGGACTTGATGGATTTTTTTTCTATTTTTTTAAAATTCTTGGAATATTATTTGGAATAATTATATTCATGCTATAAAATATTTTTTTAATACTGATAAGCTTTCTAATAGGGTTAAGCAAATTGATATCACCATAATTCCCAAAAGAAAAGGTGCTCAATCTTAAAATAATTTTCATCCTATTTCTCTTTGTATTAAATTATATAAGATTATTGCTAAGTTTTTAGCTGATATAGTTAAACCCATGCTTTGTAATATTAGTAGTCCTTTTTATGTTGCTTTCATTAAATGGATAAATGTTACTGATAATATCGTTTTGGCTAATTAGCTTTTCAATGGATTTAACTCTATTAAATTTTTAAAGAATTTTTGTTCTAAAATTGATTTCTTATATTTGTATTCATTGGATTAACTGCACGACTGATGTTTTTTCTTTGTTATTGTAAATGGTGAAATAAATGATTACTTTGTTTTTTTTTTTATCTGAGTTAAGATTATTCTCTTTCATGTTATCTATTTGTTTTTGTTATGGATATTTTTTTATTTATGTTGGATATTCATAATAATTATATTATGCAACAACTTTAATCAAGTCAAATATCTTATATGTGTTGATGATCTCTTATTTTTTTGGAAATGCTACTCCTCCCATTTAGCATCATCTTGCTAATGTTATGAATATATTTAAACACGCTTCTAATTTATTTATTAACTTCTCTATGTTTGCTATTTATTATTCTAAGAATGTTGATGATATTTTATAACAGACTTTATGTAATATTAGTGATGTGAATACCAAACCTCTTCCTTGGAAATACCTTGGTATTACTATTAGTTGTTCTAAGCTCAATGTGATAGATTATCATTATTATTATTGATAAACTTTATAAATGGTTGGTTGGCTGGAAGAAAAAAGTATTATCTGTGCTTGGTCTTTTTGATTAATAAATTACAATATTAGAAGCTATCTTTATTATTGGTTTCGTTCCACCTCTTTACCTAAATGTATTAAGAAGAAAATTACTTATTTGATTTCTAAGTCTAGTTTTCATGATAATAGTGAGAATAAAATGACTATTATTTTTTGAAAAACTACTTCTCTTCTTAAAAGTCTTGGAGGTTTTGATATTCCTTCTTAAGATAATATTAATTTGATGTGTAAAACACAAGTTATTTGGAGGCATTTCAATTCCGACTCTTTTTTAGCTAAGTGGAGTCTGAATAACAATGATATCATTTAAATTAATATTATATCTATAATCTATACTTTTTTGAAAGATCTTACCAAAGTTACTTTTAAGATTAAAAGATGCCTTATTTTAAGTTAATACTAAGAGTGATCTATTTTTTTCTTTGATCATTGGCTTAATGTATCCTCTTTATTTGAGCTATATGTTAATATAGTTTTTTATTGGTTTTGTTTGCATAAATCCATCAAACTTAAAGATTTTGTTTTTAATGGTTGTTGGTCTTTTCCTCAACATCAAAATATTCCAATTTATTGTTTACTTCTTATTCATAGCATCATTATTATTTATGATTGTATTATTTATCTTTGGAAAAGAAAGGATTATTATAGAAATAAATATGTTTATCATTTTATATATGAAGATTGACTTATTGGAGATTGGAATATGATAGTTAGATGTAAAGGCAATTCTATTAACTTGACTTTATTTTATTGGAGATGATTTAAAAATAGTCTTAAAACTAATAATATTATTAACTCTGTGGATATTAATGTTAGAATTCTTTGCTTTCTACGCTTTAATGATTTAGAAACTCATAATCATTTATTTTTTAATGTTCATTTTCTTATATATTTTTGAAGAATTATATTTCTATTGGGGTTTTTTCATTATTGCTAGTAATTTTTTCAAGTTTTTTACAATGCTAAGAGTATTAGTTTAAAATTTGATTATTCAAACTATTGTTTATGAAATTTTGTTTGATAAAAACAATAAAATTATTAATAATTCTAATACTTCTCATGAGATTATTTCTAAAAAAAATTAATAAATAGAAATTTAAGAAAGACATTCCTACCTTTATTAAGATTTTTATAGTTTGTATTTACTTTATTTTTTCAGACTCTTTTATTTGGAGGCTTGTTATGTTTGGAATTCTTTCGGTTTTGTATAAGCTTAGGTAATATTTTCTCTCTTGTTTTTTGCAATTTTTTCTCAACCTTTTTTTAGTTTTGATGGGGAGCTTATTGGAGTGCTCCAGATCAAGTTGATTTTTGGCTATATTTTGATACTAAGTGCTAGTTTGCATTTTGTGCTGGAAATGCTTATCATTAATTTTGATATAGTTTTATTATCTCTCTTTTGAATTTTTTTCTTAAAGGTTTCAAATTGGTCGAGCTGTGATGTTTTCCAACCTTATATGAAAATTCAACCGTTTTATTGAATATTTATATTTATTAACTCCTGAAAGTTATTTTTTAATAAAAACTTTGATTTAAAGATATTTAGGGTGGACATTTTGAATTGTTTGGTTCTTTACTTATGCAGTGCATGCTGTTCAAGTTTATTGTTCACTTTTGCTTTACTGGAGTTTCTGATCGTCTAGACTATTATGCTATTTAGAGCATATTCTATTTTTATTTAATTTCTGTCTTCTTTTAGATGGTAACTTTTGTTTTTTAGTTTATTTTTATAGGTGTTATGTTATAAAAATATGTTTTTTTTATATTTATTTTTCTTTCAACAAAATTGGGCATGTCTTTCATTTTTTTTTCAAAATAAAAAATAAAAAGAGGCTTTTAGATACACATTACAAAAAATTTTCACATTTACATGTTTTACATCTGAAATTTCATAATTACAAACATCATATAAGAAGTATCACTTATTATTATTTTTAATAGTTAAATTAATCATTTTATTCCTAAGAAAAGTACTATTTATGTAAAAATAAAAATTTAAATGTGAGATTGGTGAATCCATAGAATTGGATGCTGTATGATGTAATTTTCCCAAGAAAAAAAAAAACTATTTTCCTGCCTAACATTTCTACAGGAAAAACCCATCATAATGCGCACGCCATCAGATCCATTCGGCACGTGACTGCTATTTATTCGGAGTAGTTACAAGGGCCCGCTTGGCGTAGGTGGCGTGCGGCAGTGCAGGTAAGCAGCTTTGAAGAGAGAAGAAAGCGACTCCTCAAAACCCTAATGGAAGGAAAGAAGAACCCGCGAGCTTTAACGCTCGCTTCGTACTTGTTGCCATTTTGTTTGTGAAGCCGGGGCTCGAAGATTGTGGTGCTAGTGTTACTGTTTAAGGTTCCTTCGCGGTGAAATGGACAATGATGCGGCGCTCCGCTCCTGCTTGGTGGCGCTTGCGGCTCTAATGGTGGTGGTCGGTCTCTGTTCCTTCTCGCTGAAGAAGGTACTTGCTACCTACGCTTATGGTATCCTCGGCATCGCTGGTCTGTTGTTACCGGATTGGGAGTTTTTCGATCGAGATTATTCTCAGTGGTTCACTCCCATGACAGTGCCTTCAGGGCCCGGTGCAAATCGGATCGCTAGGGCTGGGAGGTTCGATTTCTGTCTTGATATCACTTCTTTTGTCTTAAAGTTTTGGAGTTTTGTGTACTATTTTAAAAAGTAGCTTTGGATATGTTTGCTGTTAAGAAATAATTGGAACGCTTGGAACTCTTTCATTGAATTAGTTTCTGAATCGATGTGAGATCTATTATGGACTTAAATTCAGTTTCGGTTGGATTTTAAGTTTAAATTGACTCTCTAGAACATAGTTTGACACTTTTGAGTTTACTTTCAGTCCGTATATATAACGTATATGAATATTATAAGATATTTTTTGTAATTGTGTAAAATGAAATAATAGTAATTTATTGCGAACTTAAAATGGATTGCAAGTTATATCAGAATAGCGTGATTTCAAAATAAGTGACTTGAATTAATTTTGATTTTGAGTTGATTTGAAAATCCATATTTTGATCCAAGCTCTTGAAATTGACTCTATAGCAGGCGCTTTAGATTTTTCTGAAGAGTATGGTTTCAATGAGCCCTCTTATGCTTGGATTAGTATCTATAACTGCCGTTTGGATTTTAAGCGGGAAATCAACTGGTGTAATAACTGTAATAATGGTTAATAAAAAGTAAATCTATGAATTAATTTTTTTATTCAGGTAAAAGTAAATCTATGAATTAATTTTTTTATTCAGGTTCTCTTCATGTTTTTAATGTTGTTATTTATGCTATTGAAAGAGTATAGAAATGTTGGGCATGTATGGAACTGAAATTTTTATATACTGCTTTTTTGGCTGCACAATCAATTTTTGGTTTGATGGATTGGGAGAAAGGCTCTGATTTAAAGGAGAAATTACTATACCAAATATTATATCTTTTTTCTGGAACAGATGATTGAAGCTGAGGAGTATTTTTCTGTTCCGACTCAAACTTTTGGTTGTTTGGCCTACGTTTTTTGTATGTTTAGCTGAGTTTAATTTTCTTTTGAACCCTCTCCTTTTGAAGTTCAGCTAACAAAATGAAAATTCAAGTTAATGTATTTTAAAGTGGACGAGTAAAATAGCTGTCAAATCTTCTGGATCCCAAAGTACTATGAAATGAGCTGGAGTATCACGAATGGAGCCATTATATTATCAACATTGCTTGATATGCTTAAACAAAACTAGCAAATGGATGAGAACATGATTAATGTGTTATGCATTGTGTTAAACAATAACAAATTATTCAATTTTTTCATTAACTGTGTTTTATGCCTTTGCATTTTAAGCTAAAACATTTGCTGCTAGCTTGTTAATTCTTTTTTTAAAGGTTTTAAATTCAGTTATGAGGCCGGTTAGCCAATTAGTAAATATTGACATCAAATTGTAATTTATTAATTGGAGTTAGAGATTTATTTATTAGTCATCTATGTTGCTTATGGTGAACATTTTGTTAAGGATGAGCTTTTATTTGTTTATTGACCATTGATAGAGATGTTGGAGATGCTAATCTTCATCATCATAAGTCCTAACTCAGTTTTTTGGGTTTCATTAATTTCTATTTAGTGCCTTATGGGTCATTCATAATGTTGGACCTATTTCTTGTATGACTTTTCTATCTTGTTCTTCAAGACAAGCAAAGCACATGCACACACTAAGATATCAAATTTTTAGGCATTTTACTCGCAAATGATTATAAGAAAATCACCCAACTGCAACCCATATGGAAATGTACTTTGCGGTGCCTCCGATGGCACCATGTTTTGAAATTTTCCTATCCATTTTACTTTTGTAACCAGTCAAAGTTTAATTCTAACAACTCATAGTAGGTGTGTGCGTGCGTGCATGCGTGCGTGTGTGTGTGCGTGCGCGCGCGTGTGTGTGTGTGCGTGCGCGCGTGCGCGCGCACGTGCGTTTGAGGGGTATTGAAATAATTCTTTTTGTATAGTATTAAAAAACATAAAGTAAGATCTTTTTAAAAAAAGATGTTTACTTGAAAAATTTTAAAACATTTTCTAAGTGCTTCAAGGACTTCCATTTCAATATTAGTCCCTACTTGAAAATAGTAAAATCTATAATCTCGATCCATGTGGTAACATTAAATTTGTTCCATTTTAACTGGTGGTTTTCCCATCACAATTATTGTGAGTAATCATGGAAAATAATTAGCCTTGGACTATTCCTTTGTGAAAAATACATGTATATTGAAATATGGATCGCAGCCAAAAATTTTTAACCAAATTTAAATCATTTATATTGATTAGTTAGTTATTAGATTAATCATGCCCTACTTAGTCACAAATGCAATTCCTCATGGCTATTAGGCGTTGAACCTTTTATGAGAAGAGATACAACAACAACAACGACAACAACAAAGCCTTAATCCCACTACGTGGGGTCGGCTACATGAATCCTTTTTCTCCATTGCGTCCTATTTAGTGTCATATTTTCATTTAGTTCTAGTAAATTAAGATCATTTTTAATACAATAAGCCCAAGTCTTCCTAGGTCTACCTCTGCCTTTCTTAACACAAGTCGAATTTAAAACATCTACTCTCCTAATCGGATCATCTAATGGTCGACGTTTAATATGACCAAACCATCTAAGACGACTTTCTCTAATTTTGTCTGTCACAGGAGCTACACCAACCCTATCACGAATATATTCATTCCGCATTTTGTCTCTAAGTGTAAAGCCACTCATCCACCTAATCATTCTCATCTCGTCAACACTTAACTTATTATTATGCTTCTCTTTTAAAGGCCAACATTCAGCCCCATAGAGCATTGCAGGTCTCACCACCATCTTATAAAATTTTCCTTTCAGCCTTAGCGGTACTTTTCTATCACACAAAAGGCCCGAAGCATTCCTCCACTTCAACCAACCAACTTGAATTCTACTATTAACATCCCCATCTATATCACCATCGCTTTGGACAAAGGGCCCAAGATATCTAAATCGTTCACACCTTTTAATAATTTGATCACCCAAAGTCACACTTCTGTCACTAGAGCTATTACTACTAAAATTACATTCCATGTATTCAGTTTTAGTTCTACTTAAACGAAGGCCTTTAGACTCCAATGGAGACCTCCATAATTCAAGA